TGGGGTGGAGGGCATGTATTTGCGTGCATTAGTGTGTGTGTGTGTGTGTGTGTGTGTCTGTGGTTGTGTGCATATTTATGCCTTCTATTGCTTTGTGCATAAATACATACATGCACAAACACCAACCTACCCACACACACAGACTCATACAAGTGGTACACAAATGCTGTGCAGAGATGACACTAGGAGCAAAACAAACCAAGTGCCTAATTATCCATCAGCAATACAACATGGCTGAAATAAACATAAACCACCATAGCTGTGAAGGTGATTTTGTACAATCAGGTGAAGAGGAAAGCAAAGCCACGGGGCTGCTAGTCATGCGCTGCTTCCAGTAATATTCACAAAGAAAGAACAATTTGTTTAGGGTTGTGTTGATAAACTGTGAAGCAATACCATTTTCAAAATACAGAGGATGATTCTGGGAATCATATGTTAAACCACCAAATATATTCTGCAAACTGCAGCTATGAGACAGACAGGAGAAAAAACTAGTAGGTGATACAACAAATTGTCTTGTTCAAATATAAAAAATGTTGATGCTGTTCTGAGATGACACTTTGAACCATTTTGTCAAGGTTTAAAATACTGGGAAGCTAAAAATACATTTTCCCTCACACGAGGAGGAGTAGAGGGAGGAGGGAAGAGCTTATCATTTTGAGAACTGAATCCATGACAGCAGGGCCTAGAGACTAGTTTTCAAAAAGACAAACTATTTGTTTTTAATAGCTTTATAATCCATTTTCTACTTCTGCTCCGACTCAAGAAACGTTCCCATTTTTAATGCACCATTTGGGTTTGCTTGATGTTTTAATGGCTTTACAATAACCACATAAGGATTTGTTTACAGCTTTTGTGATATTAACATCCACCCCTAGCAACAAATCTCACTCTCAGCCATTCCTGAAAGTTGACAGCCATGCTATAAATTTAAAGGCAGACACTGAGAGACCACAACAGGAAGCCTGTCTGTGAGCTGTAGAATCTCATTCTTAGTCTCTACTTCCATCTATTTCTATATACAACACACATGCACACAGAGGGATAGACAAAGAGAGAGAGATTCCCCACCTATGACAAAAGGTCTGTACATAAGTAAAGAGACAGTCAGTCAAACTTTTGGTAGATGGGGAGCTACTGACAGGGTGTCAGAGACCTACCGACTGTAGGGGAATAATAACAAGAAGGAGCAACTCCCACTGGACTTGACTAGGAGTCTGTGCTGTTGTCTTAAACTTGTTCAACCTACAGTCAAGGTGATATAATAGGTCATATAAATTCTTGTGCATTTTATGGCATTATACAATACAGCAGATATGTAATATCTGTTTTAGAGTAATATTAAGACTAAAGAGGATGAAGTTAGGGTTAGCATGGCTAGGTCATGGTCATGCAATCAATAAACAGGCTAGTTACACTTGGATGGCAGTGTTAGTAAATATCTATTAGACATTTGAAAAAAAAAAAGTGCTCCCACTTCTGTATTCATGTAGGTTAAAACAAAGCCAGGGATGTTAATTAAATGAAAATCAAACTTGAAACAGTTACAGCTAATTAACAAAAAAGTTACATGGAACTCCACTTAGCCTAATGAACATGGCCAAATCACAGAGTTTTCCAACCAGAACTCATTTCATTTACAGTTTCATGTGTCTACAGGACAACAAGATGTTTTCAGCTAATTGTGGAACCATTTTCAGCTATGCAGCTATACCACTGTGCATAAATGAATACAAGCTGTATATTATGAAACTTCCTTATGCATCTCAGTTATACTAAACTCAAACTGCCTGGGTGTTCTGAATGTCTACATAGGGTGGTAAACTCTTCTGTACAGATACACTATGGATTTCTCATTGAAACTCTGCATAGTGTAGTATATAGTAATGTCAGAGCCAATTAGGATTGTGTCATAGGCACACATGAATGTTTTAGTCTGTCGATACCTCAAGCTCAGGCTTGAAAATAAGGGTATTTTGCCACATTTTAATTGGACTTCTTCAGCAAATTTCCTCAAAAAGCCTGTGAAGCTAAGGCTGTGCTATTAATTTGAATTGCCATTGCAAGAGTAATTTCATTTCAACACAAGTTCAGTAAGTTCAATATTTAAAGAACAGAAATCCATTAATTCATCGCCTTTTAAATTAAATGTGAAAAAGAAAATCCTTTTATGCGTATAAATAGTGTTGCAATGTAATGTCTCTGAACCTAAAAGAAAGAAGACTTCCAGGGTCAACAAATGTAGGCAGCAGTTTTTCCCACTGTTACTAGGCTGCGCATTATTGCGATGTAGTCTTGAATTTACCTATTCTGAAGGAGAGCGGGCCACCAGAGGTGCTTCTCACCCACATGGCTAAGAAGAGCAGAAGCGCCCAGGCTGTGAGCATCTTCTATGACTCCTCATGGGTCCTGCCCCGGGGATGCCCCTGTCACAGCCACCTGAAAAATATACAAAGGGCAACACAACATTTATACATCAACCAACATCATGAAGGACACACACAAGTCAAAGCTGTGTAGCATACTGATAAACCTGCAGACCTGCAGTACTTACACCCTCTGTGGTGCTCTTGTCACACGCTGAGAATCTCTTAATATGAGTGTGAAACTACTACTATGTGAACCAGAGTCCTTGAAATGAAGTGAATGTGCTTCTTTAGACTTTTGCTGTTTGTGTCAGAAATGGAAAGATATTTTCCCAAGCACTTTCTTTGTTTTTCCACCATTAAGCCAAAACACATAAAGTGACATACAGTATGGCAAGTGGGCTCTATCTGGACCCAAACATCTGTCCATATGAAGGTCTACACACTATAAAACTCGATTGAAATTAAGTGTACAGAGTGTGCCCTTATTTTAAGGGCACCTAAGGAGGAGTAATTTGGGAGAGGCAAGCATTGCTCTGTCAATACCTCTACCCAAATAATTAGTAACTTTCTAGCCAGCAGCTTCTTCTCCAGCCAATTAAGTCTCCATTGTCCTGGTGTAAATAACACCGTCGAAAAATAAAACTCGAGTGTAGCACATACACTTTTAACAAGCATTTAAGCTGTAATGTCTTTCTTATTGTTAAGGGGCAGGCTGATTGTGACAGCCTGTCATATGTGTCTTAATCGTGTGTGAATAGGGCCATTGTTGGTTGTGCTTGCTGCATTCATAGTCTGAAGCACAGTGTACTCTGTGCCCTTTGTTTCTCCACGTGCTTCTCTTCTGTTTGGCAGCATCAGATTCTGATCTACTGTTGTGGGTTATTCAATAATGTTGATGTGTCATTGTTCGTCTTGTGGTCCACACTGTTTCACCACACTGTTTTATTGCTTCCATCTAAGTAAATCAATGTGACAGTGGCCTCCACTCATACAAGCAAATTGCAGAGAACACCTTTGTTTTCCCACAGTAAAAGCGGCTGACCATCACAAGTGCATAAAGGCAGCTTTCATGGCCGGAGAGTTAATTTTGCCACTGAAAACTTCAATGAGAACTCTGTGTTGTCACATTTTCATTGAGGAAAAACATGTCAAGATAAAAAGCAACATTTGAAAACAAGCTAGGACAAAATGTTACAGGTTTTTCTAAATGATTAAAAAGTAAATAAGATAAAAAAGACAAATGGACATGAAGTAATATCGTCTTTCTCTATGTACATAGAAATCTCACAGTCATAAACTGTAGCTCCTAATAAGAAAAAGATAAGTTTCCTCCTCCACAAAAACGTCTTGTTCAAATGCTGATTTAGCCACTTGACCTGTTACACTGCCATCAATAAGCAACCATCTTGCATTCAGTAACGTCACACTAGGTTCTTGGAATAAACGGGTTTATGAAATAAATTCATCTACAATCCACTGAAAATTTGACAAGATAACACACAAAAAAAACTGTTGAGACAAGTAGAAAAATTCTGGCAGCACACGACATTTAGGATTACTTAACATTAGTGCTGTGGATATGGGTGTATGGTTTCAGGTGTCTATGTTTTGTGTTGCTATCAAAAGGACGTAATGTATTCGAGTTGGGCAGTCAACCTTGTAAATCTTCCTCTATATGTTCCCTAAAAAACTATAGCTCTATAAATGACATCCAATAATGTAACTTCTCAAACTAAACCAGAGAACACAGTTTTAGTCACAGCGTGAGTGAATCCAGCTTTTCAATTTCTCACCATTCTGCAGAGCAGAGAGACATGGAGGCTGCCTGTGAACAAATAAACTGACTTTTCCACCAACCTCACTGCAGATGGGAACAACACCTGTAACCATGGTAACTGTACACAACATAGATGGTGACAGCGGTACAGTAGCCTCAAATGCTTAGAAGAATATTAAAGATGCAGGACAAAATGAGACAAATGTCACTCATGAAAGAAAAATTGAATGATTAAAATTTGAGTGTACATAATAATAAAGACTAAGAACTAATGCCAAAATCAGTACTACATGGATGAGCTCAGCTTCCTTTATGCTCTTTCAGACATAACAAAGAGGGTAAAAACATATCAATAGCAGTAAAAAATAATGTGTAAAATGATAGTGTCCTGTGTGCCAGTTAATTATTTGTTTTTTTCAGTGGTTTTTTTGTTCATTCATATCAGCCCTATAATGAGTTTAAGCATTAATGGTAGGAGGGGAAACAGAAAAAGTTGTTTGTAGAGGTGATACATCAGAAAGTCATGGCTCTCCTTCAAGAGGGGTGTATTATGTTCTTTGTCACTGGAATAGTTTAAATGCAGGAAACGCTGGGCCTGCTATTAAAATTGTGGGAATTCTGACCTAATGAATCTACAGTGAAGCATACATGTCCTGCTTTTGGACTTAAAAGTAAAAGCATTCAAAAAAAAAAAAAAAAAAAAAAAAAAAAAAAAAGACACCGGTTGCCTCAAGGATTTAAAAGGGCTGCAGAGCTTTTTTAAAGCTGTTATTAGTAGTTCACAGCAGGCATGCAATAATAAAAAAATATTCACACATTTAATTTGTAAGAGCAAGTTTCTTTAAACACAACGATTGAAGAATCCAAACATCAGAGGATGAAGGGTAATTTACATGAAGACGCCAGCAAAAATTACCAAAAACTGCAACACTTTACTGACTGCAAGCATGTCACATTTTACATATGTCTGCAGTTCCTATTGTTGCCCAGACTCTGCAGTTTTGAACTGTTAAGTTTTGTGCACTTTCTGAGAGACTGTCTTATACTTGTGTCTTCTTGTGCACTTGGCATATAAATGTAGCAAATACATCAAATTATTTTTTTGTTTAGGCTATATAAAATAAACCATTCTCAAATGTCAGTCTACAATCCAGATCTCACTTTGCTACAACATGTTTCTTGGTATCCATCATCAGTTTGTCCCAGTGTTATACCGCAATAGATTTCTAGGCAGAGTGGCAGAATAAAATGAGAAAGTACTGCAAGTGTGGCTAATAAATTTACAACGTGTCCCAGACTTCCTGTAGGTCCTAGCTACCTCTTTCAGGCTGTCTTCAGGGTACATGTGTTTTAATATCTTGATGGGCTGTCACAAATGTCATCATATTAATGTTCTTCATTGAAATGCTGCTTAAGATTTCAGTAGGCCTACCTATCTCCTTCCATCCTTGCAAACTCTGTCTAAAATTAGCCCAGTAGCATTAACATTCACAGATTGCACCAGTGTGGCTTTACTTCCATGACTTCCATGTAGTGTCAGCTGATCTTGGATGACCTGGGTTCTGTCCAGTCATAAGCAAGCAGCGTTGTCCCTACCTTTTCTATAATAAGAAATGTTGGCTTTTCTCTTTTGCCATTGTGTTTTGTGAAATTTTGCAGTGCTTTGCACCTCAGGGCCACCATAAAAAAGCCCTAAAAGCTACTGTACACTACCTGCTCAGCATCAAACAGCAGACAGACACAGACAGTAGCTGGTGAACTCTGTGAAGCATTTAGCAGTTAAAGAGACATATTTCCCTCAAGAGTTGGTAAAGACAAAAAACTGGACTTATCATTTACCAGATGGCCAGAAACTTCAAATGGATGATAATGTTGCTCTGCAATTTCTGCATGTGTTGTAATTCCAAGATAGTATATGTAACATTTCTGATGCAGTGTGTTTTTACTGCATCAAATTATGCATTGTTCAGTCTTGTGTATGCACTGATTCTATTCCAGAACAAGTGAGCTAAAACACAGAGCACCATCATTAATTTCACAACACGATTCTGCGTGTAAAACAACGATTCATGGTATTTCTAGTCATATTTTACCATTTAAGTGGTTTTTACATGCTTGATTAATGCAAGTCCCTTTCTCTTTTCATTAAGGTTAGGTTGTGTTATTCATTCATTCATTCATTTTCTACCACTTAGTCCCTGAACGGGGTCGGGGGGGTGGGGTGGTGGCAGCAATCGGGCGAAGGCGGGGTACGAGGCAGTTCTGGTTAGCAGCGAGCAAGGGCAGTGTCTTCTTTTTTGTCACAGTTTTATGTTCCTAATCAAGGTAATACTGGTAATCTACACTTTATTAAAGAATTTGAGAAGGATCACTGACAGGGTCAGTGCAGCCAGAGTGAATGTATCCTACTGGAAAGTGGACTTTACTTTGGACAGGACACCCAAATAGAGCCTCTTTAGAGTCATGCTCCTGAATATAGTGAGACAGTTTGATCTGTTAGATGGAGGGAGGACAAAGCATCCAAATGTCAGACAGTACACCTGTGAAATGGCAGACAGCAAGATTAGTGCAGTCAGACTGGAAAGACCAGGGCTTCTATTTCTGTACAGGCACAAAGCCAGCAGAGGTGCAAATAAAGTCACAATATTGTTTACATCAGGAAGAAGTTACAGTTGCTCACTTCAAAAATGTTGGTACATAATATTTCCTTTTGTATGTACAGTGATCTTAACACTATGGTCACTAATACAGTATATCAACCTTACATAAGTGAAAGAGGGCCAACAGCCGGACTGGGTCCAGAAAAAAAACCAACACTATTTTTATTTCACCCACATTGTTCTAGTGCTTCTTGCCACCTAGTGGCATGGAATACTAACAGCCTTGGATAATACTTCAATACATCACACCTTCTCCCCACTTAATTTAGGTATTAGGTTAACAACATTCAAGTCACAACATTAACACCATCTATTCCATAGTCCAATGGTACCCTTGAGCTGTGCTGTTTTTAAACTTGTAACTGAACTCATCCTCGGGGTAGACTGCCCCATCACCTGGAGCCTGTCAGGGGGGTTATTCTGCCCTTATGGCGACAAACTCACTAACTGCCTCAATTTGTGTTAACAAGGCAACTACTATTTAGAGGATCAGACAATAAGGAGGCTTGATGACCCACTGGGGGTATCACCTACTAGTCCTTTGAGTGTCCTCAGACCCTTCTGGTGTCTCAGCAGATCTCGGTGAGGATGAATCTTTCTGGGTAGTGGGCTGAGCTCCCTGCAGCATGTCCA